AGCGTCCTCGGGCCTGGTCCCAGGGCTGTCAGGGTTCACAAGTGAAGCGCGGGACGTGCCCGTCCCCATGTCGGGGCCGCCCGCACCTCTGGGGACGGGAACCCTTGCCTCAGCCTCCCAAGTAGCTGGGACCACAGGTGCCCGCCACAACGCCCGGCTATTTTTTTTTTTTTTTTGGTTGCAGCCATCGTTGTTTGGTGGGTCCGGGCTGGATTCGAACCCACCACCTTAGGTGTATGTGGCTGGTGCCTTAGCCACTTGAGCCACAGGCGCCGAGCCTAATTGTTAGTTTTATGAAGTGTACATTTTAAGGTAGTCATATATCCTATGAAGACATGTCTCTTTCTGCTGATTCAGTTTGGTCTAAATTACTTATTTTGTTTTTGAGACAGAGTCTCACTCTGTTGCCCTGGGTAAGAGCTCTGGCATCACAGCTCACAGCAATCTCAAAGTCTTGGGCCCAAGCCTCTTGCCTCAGCCTTCCCAGTGGCGGGACTGTAAGTTCACGCCACAATGCCCACCTAGCTTTTCTATTTTTTTAGTAGAGACAGGGTCTCACTCTTGTTCAGGCTGATCTTGAACTCCTGAGCTCAGCCAATCCACTCACCTTGACTTCCTAGAATGGTAGGATTACAGGTATGAGCCTGGGCCTATCCTCATCTGTATTTTTAATTATTCTGATGCTAGTGCCAAAACATGGTATTGCGGGGCGGGGGGGGGGGAGTAATATCGTAATTAAAACCTTTGTCCTACTATAGTAGCTAGCATGAGCTTCTATTACAGCTATCAAATACTTCATAGTATCTTAACTATCTTCTACCAGATATGAAGTATTTAATTTTTGATTTTTGTCTTTTCATTTTTTGTGTCTAAGATCTAGCTTAAGGCTGGGAGGGTGTGCAGCAAATGCTTAATAAATTTAATTTAATTGGAGGGAGAGAAGGCGGAAAGAGAAAGAGAAAAAAGAAAGGAAGGGAGAATGGAAGAAAAAAAAGAGAAGGAAGAAGTACACTTAATATAGGAAGTTTAAAATTGAACCACTAGGCTGGGCACTTGTGGCTCAAGTGGCTAAGGCGCCAGCCACATACACCTAAGGTACCAGGTTCCAATCCAGCCTGGGCCCGCCAAACAACAATGACGGCTGCAACCAAAAAATAGCCCGGCATTGTGGCTGGTGCCTGTGGTCCCAGCTACTTGGGAGGCGGAGGCAGGAGACTCGCTTGAGCCCAGGAGTTGGAGGTTGCTGTGAGCTGTGATGCCATAGCACTCTATCCAGGGGGACAGCTTCAGGCTCTGTCTTAAAAAAAAAAAAAAAATTGAACCACTAAATTTCAAATTATCGTTTAATCCTGATTTAAAGCATAAATATCATGCATAAATGTTTGAAGTTTAAAATAGTATAGTAATGCTGCAAAATTCGTTTGTTGAGATAATTTTAGAAAGACGCTGTTGTTGAGGCCTGTAAACCTGGGGCCTTGGGAACCCCAGGTGGGAGAACTGCTTGAGGCCAGACCAGCCTGAGCTGGAGCAAGACCAAGACCTTGTCTTTACCAAAAAAAAGAAACCATCTCAAGACCTATCTCAAAAATAAACAAATACAAATTATTTTCTGAGTCTTATTTTTTAAAGGTGTGACGTTTCTCTTTGCCGTATAGAGTTCTTAAGTTCTCCCCGTCTCAGCCTTCCCCCAAACTATCTCAAGGTTAACCCGGAGACTTTCCACCATAACCAGTAAGAATACGGATTCAGAAATCCGGCAAACATCAGTAGTGTTCTTTGTCACTCAGTAAGGCAGGCCACTGTGCTGTCAGCGTCCTCGGGCCTGGTCCCAGGGCTGTCAGGGTTCACAAGTGAAGCGCGGGACGTGCCCGTCCCCATGTCGGGGCCGCCCGCACCTCTGGGGATGGGAACCCGCAGCCAAGGAGCGCGGGGCGCGGGGCGGGCGGAGCTGCTTCCTAAACCTGTCCCTGCAGCGCTCAGAGACCAACTTACGTTCCTTCCAGGGGTTCGTAGGGGAATTCGCCCCAGGAGACAGACCGGGAACGCGGATTTTTTAAAAAAAGTCCTCCTAGGTGCATCTTACAAGGGTACAAGTGAAATTTACTAGGTGTAGAATATAAATGTCTAAACACAATAACTAAGAAAATGACGTGAAGGCTATGTTAACCAGTTTGATGAAAATATTTCAAACTGTATACAAAAGCAAAAAGGTCTCCTAGGTGATTTCACAGGTTCCCAAGAAAGAGAACCAGCCCAGGGACCCTCTCGCCTCTTTCCCCAGCGTGGCCCCTTTAAGAGCCTCGTTCCCGCCGCCCGTCTCGGGTTCGCGACTGGAGGAGGCGGAACCGGAAGTAGTGGGGACGCGCCGGTCTCCAACATGGCGGCCGCCTGGGGCTGCCGGCTGGTTCCTCCGGGGGCCGTGGCCGCCCAGTTCCTCGGTGTCCTGTGGCTCGTTTCAATTACCCCCAGGCCTTGGGGGGCTGCCGCCATAGCCGCCACCGGGGGCGAGGAGTTGCTTAAGTGCGAGGACCTCAAAGTGGGACAATATCCTCCGTGGGGAGCGTGCCCCAGGGTGGCGAGGTAGAGTTGGGGTCGCGAGTGGGCTACGGCCTCAGGAGGGGCTGGGACTGCACCGAAGGAAACGAGGACCTGTGGTCTGTCATGACTGGGGGACCCCAGGAGGTGAAGAGAGGTGTGGGGACGGTGAGGCCACCTGACGTGGTATCCTTAGGGAGTCATTGGCCTTCTCTTTTCTGATCCACATATTTTTTTCTTTGACCGGTGTGCTGACTTATGTAACATTTAGTTCATGAAGTATGCCAGCCCTTATTCTGGGTCCAGTAATGCAAAGATTGATAGGTCCTGCCCCGGAACAGTTTCCCGATTTGGGAGATGACAAATAAGTAATTAATGTGTAGCCAGTGTATGTCGCCCATTGATCATGAATTTCACATAAGGTATATTACCTTGCCATCCTCAAACTAGTGAGATGCTGGGGGCAGGGCGGGAATTCCTGCTGCACTTTGTAACCGTGAACAAATTACTTGAAGTCTGTTTTCTCTTGAGTAAAAAGTGTTGATAACAATGGAACCATCTTAAAGATCTGTTGCCTTATCTACGTGAGTGCAGGTAAAACACTTAGTGCCTGGCATGGTAGGGACTAGATGTGTAAGCTATTTATTTACAGATGTGGAAACTGGGTGAAGGGTTAAGTGGGTCTTACAACACCACTTTATCATAAATGAAGGAACAAGGTAAATATGAGTTACTTTCAAACTAAAATAGCCACTTTTGCACAGAATGGAATACTGTTTTTATAAAAATGGAGGACAGAAAAAAAACTTAATACCAGAAGCCGTAGATAGAAGAAAGATTATATGAAATAAAATCTTGGGGATGGGCACGGTGGCTCACACCTGTAATCCTTGCACTCTGGGAGGCCGAGGCAGGTGGATTGCCTGAGCTCATGGCTGGGATGGAGACCAGCTTGAGCTAGAGCGAGACCCTGTCTCTAAAAAATAGCCAGGGGGCAGCGCCTGTGGCTCAAATGAGTAGGGCACCGGCACCATGTACCAGAGGTGGCGGGTTCAAACCCAGCCCCGGCCAGAAACTGCAAAAAAAAAAAAAATAGCTGCGTGTCCTCGCAGGCTCCTATAGTCCCAGCTCAGGTAGATGATTTCTTGAGCCCAGAGTTTGATGTTGCTGTGAGCTGTGATGCCACTGTACTCTACCAGGGCAACAAAGTGAGAAGACTCTGTCTCAAAAAAAAAAAAAAAAAAGCAAAGAAAGAAAAGAAAATCTTAAAATTAAGAAAATTCTGTAGTTCTTTTATGTGAGTTGGTGAAAGATTGAAAGATAGTTATTAGATTTTTACAAAATTGCTCTAACTTGGTGAGTGTCATTGGTGCTTGGAGTTTGAGAATTAATGATCTAGTAAGTTGAGTCATTTTCTTCTTCTTTTTTTTTTTTTTTTTT